TTAATTAGTGGTTTTTATAAATAAATAAATGTAATTAAAGATATTGAATTATTTTTGGAGAAAGCGTTATTGGTTTGTGATATTTTATGACTTTGAGTGACATAATTGTAATTAATCATAATGAAATTATTTGCATAGAAAAAAAGGGTGAAGGACTTTATATTGTGTCAAAGTTTTAGACCCTATTCCGTGAGTTTATTGAAAACACGAAAAGGCTTTGCACACCTTGTTTTATACTCGAGCTGTTTGTGCATGCGTTGTTGTGTTTATGGTGGATGTAAAATTATAAAAAAATTAGAATCGAAGGGGTATATGATAAGATTCTACTTTAATTAAAATTATTGTTATTGACAAGGCATGAAAATGTTTTTCATGCATGCGATTGAAATATGTTTATAAGTGTGGAATATATTGCAAAAACTATTGCAAAAAATAATGTGTTATACCAAATAATTAGCTTCATTTTATAAATAAAAATTAATTAAGAGAAGGCTATTATTTGCATGAGGGGCAAAATTTATGGTAGTGACAAAAATTTAATCATTTATTTAGCATAAATAAATGTATTTTAAAATAAGTGCATAACCTATTGAATTATCTTGGCACAAATATTTATTGTTGTAAATAATAGTATGTTCATGTGTTATGGTCCTATAAAATAAATAAAATATTTAAAAGATATTGTGAATTATGATATTGTGTATAGTGAATTCTCATTATATAAAATATATAGTTGTTGATTGTGTTGTAAATTCATGGGTGAAAATCTAGTAGCTAGAGATAATCTACCTTTAGTAATGATAAAAACATATACAATAATAGGACTATCATAGAGTCAAAGTGCATTACTCTAAAATTGAAGACTATATTGTGAAAAATCTTTTTAGCAATTATTTTAGTATAAAACTAACACTTAGTATTGATGAGCATCCCCATCATACTAATATGTTTTAAGAAAATGAAAATGGAATGATTCTATTATTCAATCTATATATGCATGTAGAAAATTTAGAGAATTTATCATATTAATTAATGTTAATCTTATGATATAGTTATGTTACTTGGAAATTGAGCATATCAATTAGTTTTATAAGAGGATGAGATAAACGAGTATTAAATAATGATATCACATATAATGGATTTCAATTATTTCAATTGTATTAAAATAATACAATAAAGTAAATTAACTTTTATATTCAGATAAGGAAAAATTCATTAATAATCAAATAAAATATTATGTGAGTTAGAGTACATATTACTCTGAAATTAGCTAGTAATAAAGCTAAGTAGTTGATGATTTCTTGAATTTTTAAATGGCGATAGTCATTGCAAAGAGAACAATGACATAGGTAGACAACTTTTGAAACACAATTAAGCATATTAAAAAAGGGAGTTATCCTAATTGATTATGTGATATCATGTGTAAATCTAATGAATCCATTAACTAACCCTTGGAGAAGAAATTAATTATGAAAATGTCGAGGGGAACGAAACTTAAGCCCATGCAACGCAATTTTTGTGATTAGAGATCCCATGAAGAAGTTTTAATAAATAAAAACAAGTCACTTGTTAGTTCTATTAACACTAAATTTTCTATCCCTTCTTAAGAATTGGAAAAGTGTTAGAATGCATCAATAGGAGGCTAAGTAAAAACTCTTAATAATGTTGACATTCCTTTTAAATGATTTATTCATCGCAGATACGTTTGATAAAATCACCTATACGAGTGTGGAGTGGAGTCACTCTTATGAGACTGTGGCAAAATTTCTAAAGTATTTGTTAAAATCAGGCACATACATGGCTAATAACACACAAAACCATTATTAACAGCAAAAACTGTGGGGGTATAATTTAATTAATAAGATCTCTAGTATACACCAAAGATATATTGGTTTAATAATAAAGTTATACTGACTTTTCTGTATGCTAAATTTTATTGATTTAAGTTTGGTTCAAGTCGAAAGACACTAAATTTAAAGTTATTATCTTTTAAGTGAATAACTCATGATTGTGTTCCTTCTTACATGTGGAGGATTGTTGTAGCTATGTCAAGAAGAAAAATCACATGTTACTCAAATAAATGATGACCTTAGTGCATGTATACTAAGGTATGAACTTAAGTGAATAAATGAATTTAAAGGAGAAGTTGGCTCACAAGTACAACTATGCACACCAATTTAGGTGTGGCATTGGAAAATTTTTTAAAATTTTAAAAATTATTTTGTAAAGTTACAAAATTATTTCTATGAAATAGTTTTCAAGAAATTTTCCTTCTTTTTAAAATATGTGAGGGATTGTTGAATATTATAAAATATCTTGAGTATTTCAAAAGGATTTATTTATAAATAAATAATATCAATTACCATAACTCTCTACTTAAATTTATTTAATTAACCTCATTATTTTTGTAATTGATTTTTAATTGTGATTAAAGTAATTTTATTACCCTTTTTTGTTAATATCATTGCCTATAAAAGGCAATACTTACCACAGGTTATGTAAGAGAGCATTTGAGCTTTCAGGAATTCTCTCATCTTTTATTATACTACTTCATCTATGCTTTTATCTTAATTTATTTTGTGAATTTCTATTATTTTGTGTCTTTATTTTTTACAAGAGTATGTTTAATTTTGAAAAATTTCTATGTGATTAAACCGATATGGTAAAATAGTTCTTAAGAATAATGTTATCAGGCACAACTTAAAACATGATTTTACCTTCTATTATCAATAATTTTTAGGAAAAAACTGTTTACCAAAAAAATGTTCATTCCGATAAAAATATTTTGTGTTTATAGTTTTAAATACCAATATACTTTATGATAAGTAAGAAATTAATTTACACAGAAATCTATGTTTATAAATATAATGGGTAAAATGAAAAAAAAGTAAATTATTTATATTTTAAATCAATATTAAATAAATTTTGAGGAGGAGAAAGTAAAATTTGGAAGCCTAAGATTACAGCTTCTAACGCCGCGCAGCAGATTATTTTATTCATCATTTTAGCCCCTTCGGCAGAATCGCTGGTGAAGACACGACGGTACGAAATTGTTCCCATATTATCGGTGAGACCCTTCAAAATTGGTCAACTTTGATGAACTTCCTTATGCGATTCGTCTGAATGCTCCCCAAAAAAAAAAAAATGGAAGAATGACATAAAGTCTCAAAAAAAATAATTAATTTAAGTTAAATTTTAATTATAAAATTTTAAAAATTTATAATTTAATTTTTTAATTTTATAATTCTATTGTAATGAATTTACAATTTATATTTTAAATTTTAATAAGAAAAATATTTTTTATTTTACAATCATATTAAAATTTAAAAAATAAATTATAAATTTATTATAATATAATTATAAAATTGAGAAATTGAGTTGTAAATCGTTAGAGTTTAATATTTAAAACCTAATTTAAATTAATTAATTTTTTAAAATTTTTTTGTCATTTTTCAAAAAAAAAATTGCACTTCATTTTACCAGTGCCTTGCTGCAGATTTCAAGCTCAAACTCGCATTCTGTTTTCTGATATATATATATATATATATATATATATATATATATATATATTTTTTGGGTCAGACTCAAACCCGCATTCATCATCCCTAAAATCAATAACACTAAATTCCCCTCCCTATTTACTCAGCAAGGCTCTGAATTGAAATCTCTACTCATTATTGCCCTTCTGAACTTGCCTTATTCTCGCAGTCATCCCAATGAATTCACAAATCCTGACAATATTCGCACTTACTAATCCTTTTCACTATAAATCTCAATTCACTCCGTTCTTCAAATCCAATCGAATCTTCTTCCTTCCCAATGGCCAAGCCCAACCCTCGCAAGAAACCTGCTTGTGAATTTTTGTTGTTATATGTTCTTATATTTTGTAAGAAGAGTTTGTTTAATTTTAAAGAGCTGTTACATAATTAATGTAGTAGAAAAAATTTTAAGAATAGTATTTTTGGACATAATTTAAATTATAATTTTACTTTCTATTGTCAATAATTTTTTTTAAAAAAATCTGTTTATCAATAAAATTCTCATTCTCATGAAAATATATATTATTTTTTTTACTTATAATTTCAATTACCAATATATCTCACGATAAGTAAGAGATTAATTTATACAAAAATCTAGATTAATAAATATAATTGCTAAAATGAAGATTTTTTTTTAAATTTTTTATATTTTAAATCAATATTAGCTAGAAAACATGCTTATATTTTGAGCAAGAGTAAGTAAAATTTGGAAGCCCAAGAGCCTGTTTGGTTTCCATTCTTATTTTTTGTTTTAAAAAACTGTTTTGTAATATAGCTTTTAAAATTATTTTTAAAAAAATAGAATAAAAATTCATTTGATTACATCAATTAAAAAAATATTTTGGAATTAAAAAATAGATTAATAGTGATGGTTATGAGTAGTTAATGGTGATAATTAATAAAACAATTAATCAAGGTAACTATAATTTTTAATAATTAAATATAGTGTATTTTAAAAAATAAAACAAAAACAACTTAAAATTATTTCTATTTAAAAAAAACAAAAAATGAAAAAAATTTTAAAAACAATTAAATGAAAAACACTCATTTAAATAAATTTTTAATTTTTTTATTATCAAAATTAAAAAAAACAGTTTCTGTTAAAAAAAACAGACTCTAAAATTATACTACTCCATTTACAAATATTTGTAAGAAAAATTATCACTTTTTATTTATTTTTTTATATAAGTAAAATCATATATTTTAATAAACATTTATTACACATCTTCTAAATCGCCTCTCATAATTTGTATTAATAAAAAATAATTAATACATGCTTATATTGATTAATATAAGATATTTTAATATAATTTTTTATTTTTAAATATAATCACTATGATTAATCAATTTTTTTAAATTATGTGGTTTTTTTTTTTCCCTTATATGTGCAAACAGAAGGAGTAGCTACTGCCGCCGCGCAGCAGATGATTTTATTCATCATTTAGGTCCCATATTCGGCAGAATCGCTGCTGAGGACACGACGGTATCAAGTTATTCCCATATTATCGGTGAGACCCTTCAAAATTGGTCAACTTTGATGAACTTCCTCATGCGATTCGTCTGAATGCTACCAAAAAGAATTGCACTTCATTCTAACAGTGGCTCTCGCTGCTGATTTCAAGACTCAAATCCGCATTCATCATCCCTTAAATCAATGACATTAAATTCCCCTCCCTATTTACTCAGTTAAGGCCCTGAATTGAAATCTCTACTCATTATTACTCGTCTGAACTTGCCTTATTCGCAGTCAACCCAATGAATTCCCAAATCCTGTCGACGATATTTGCACTCACTAATCCTTCTCACTATAAATCTCAATTCGCACTGTTCTTCAAAATCCAATTGAATCTTCTTTCTGCCCAATGGCCAAGCCCAATCCTCGTAAGAAACCTGCTTGCTCTCATGGCCTCCTCCTTCTTAGCGCAACGCTCTTCGTTCTCCTTCTCATCTGGACTCTCTCTTCCAACAGATTCCACCTTGCCCGATTCCTTCACTCCTACTTGACTGACCCGATCGATAAAACCATTTCAAACGGAGTGCCCGACTCGCCCGACAAAACCTTCTACGACGACCCGGAATTGAGTTACTCGATCGAGAAACCGCTCAAGAATTGGGACGAGAAACGGAGAAAGTGGCTGCAACTCCATCCATCCCTCGCCGCTGGAGCACAGGACCGGATTCTCCTCGTGACCGGATCGCAGCCGTCGCCTTGCAAGAACCGCATCGGCGACCATCTGCTGCTACGAGCTTTCAAGAACAAGGTAGACTACTGCCGAATCCACGGCCACGTTATCTTGTACAACAATCTGTATCTCCACCCCAAGATGGACTCTTATTGGGCCAAGATCCCGATTATCCGGGCCTCCATGTTGGCCCACCCAGAGGTCGAATGGATCTGGTGGGTTGACGCCGACGCAATATTCACGGACATGGAGTTCAAGCTCCCAATAGAGAAATACAGAAACCACAATATGGTGGTTCACGGGTGGCCCAAGATGGTGTACGGAGATAAACACAACAAGAGCTGGACGGGCCTGAACGCAGGATTATTGTTGTTGAGGAACTGCCAGTGGTCCATGGATCTGATGAAGGAATGGGCCAAAATGGGCCCAATCTCGGCCCATTACGAAAAGTGGGGGAAGATATTGAAGTCAGCGTTCAAGGACAAGCCGTTCCCACTACCAGATGACCAGTCCTCGCTGATTTATTTGTTGTTCACAGAGAGAGAAAGGTGGGAAGAGAAGACATATTTGGAATGGGAATATGATTTGGAAGCGTATTGGGTGGGGGTGGTGGAGGGATATGAGGAGGTTGGGGAAGAATATAAAGAGATGGAGGAAGAAGAGAAGGGATTGAGAAGGAGACACTCGGAAAAAGAAAGCGCGTGGTACGGAAGGCAAAGGGAAGACTATATGAAACGAAAGGGAGTGAAGAAGAGAAGGGCATTTATGACGCACTTCACAGGGTGTCAACCGTGCAGTGGGGATCATAATCCGAGTTATGATGGAGAGAAATGTTGGAAGGAAATGGAGAGGGCATTGAATTTTGGGGATAATCAGGTGATTAGGAATTATGGGTACATTCACAATGATCTTCACACTTCATCAGTGTCCCTAGTCCCCTATGATTATCCCTGGTTTGACTTGTATTGAGTCTCGTGATATGATCATTGATTCCCCTCTCGTGTTAATTATTGTGCCCTCTTGCTACTTGTTAATTCTCTTCACTGCTCTAATTACTTGCCATTGTATGTATTGCATATAGTTGATTAATTAACCGCCTCTACATAAACAGCAGAGAGATGTATTCTTTGAGACACAATGAGGCCAAGTGGAGCTTTGTATTACAATTTTTTGAACAGGAGCTTTGTATTTTGTGTTTTAGCGTTTTGAAGGAGAAAATCACTTTATTTGTCTTTCAGCTAAGATACCACGTTATCTAATCCTTCATCTATCATGATTCCTGTCTGATAAACTTTCATGCAAGAGCCTCCCCGAATACCAGCCGTACTGCCACGTGTTACATGAGATCCCTGAGCAAAACTTGGCCCCATCATATAATGATGTGTGAATTTTATCAACACTACAATTTTTTTATTTATAAATTTACAATTTTAAAGTATCTAATAAACAATTTTTTATGCATAACCATTTGTGAAGTTATGTTGTGAAGTTTTTTAAATTGGAACATGATAAATATAACTGTTTCAATAATACCAGTAACAAAACATTTGGCCGGTAAGAACTTCTATTATTCTATATTTATACTGTACAGTACATATCATATTTTAATTGAAAATGTATAGGAGTAAAAAATTAATACTATTTGGATTCTGTGTGGTAATGTTTTTAACGCTTTCTTTGACTGAGCGTTTGAAAGCGCATATATATATTTGATGATGGTATTAATGCTTTCTTTCTTCTCATGCATGCTTTGGGCCATAAATTAGTGCATGATTGAAGGATTTCATTTTTCGTTTCCCCACCTCTTCAAAAACACGAGGGATATGTAGCTCGCTAATCTTTACACGTCATATTAAAATGGGAATCCACCACGCAACAAGAAAAGGATTCGCAAAAATAATAATTTTCTATTTTTCCTCACAAACATTTTCATGTTCTTTGCCAAACACGGAGAAATTTTAGGCGTAGAAAATGCGTTTATATGATATTTCAATTCTTCAAGCCAACAATCACCGCTTAGTAATATTGGAGCCTATCATGAAATTGTCAACATACATACTCAAGCGTGCTGCTTTATTCGCTACCATCCAAATGCTTTGATGTACATGTTAAACAATTTAATTAATTAATTTAAAAAATTGCATAGGTTGCATTTACTTTAAAAACCCCTAATCTCACAATTTTTACATGAAGGTATCACCGTTGATGCTGGCATAAAGTTCATTGTGGACCAATTTCACATAATTCAAATTATATCATTCTTTAGCTTTAAACATTACTAGTGCTACTTAATTTATAAAAATTATTAAGATTATATTAATTAACTACAATATAATAGTTATATTGTTCAAGATAAAAAATATAATTTTTAATATTTTATTTTACTTACATGCTTTTTTGACCACTCAAAGCTTTCCCTCGATTCTGTGATATCAAAATCAATTAAATAGCTTGAAAAGTAAAAGCTAGACAATGAGACGGAATGGAGGGAATTTGGCGGGGGCAACTGTCGGTCGCATTCCACGTGTCCATAATCGCTTCAACACTCTCTGGAATTTACCGCTATAAACGACAATGCGTATCATATCTTAGCTTCTCAAGTCCCCTTCCTTCTTCACTCTACTGTCTCCTTCCCTCAAAACCCTCAGTACCACAGTTTCAGATTGAGCAGGCAGGTTGTAACTCTCTCCATTGCAACCTCTGCTGTGATTCATAATCCAGCGGTCAACAGTCTCACACATGGCGAAGAGTTTTCATCACGCGACGATTCACAAGAGACGTCAAGCATGGTACGCTTAACCCACCTCCGTCTTCTCTGGATATAAAATGGTATCTGCTGAGTCCCCACAGTCCTGTAATAACTCTGCCATGGCGAAGTACAGTTCAAGAAACAAATCCTCTGGCTGTTTTTCCGATGGTTGCCTCTTCCTCGGAGGAGCATTTTCCGCTCTTGTTCTAGTTTGGGGTTTCTGGTCATTCATTTCTACAATCCCTCCTTCAAACTCCAATTTCGACTCCGTCACCTCGAAACTGAAATCCTTAAAATTTCCGGGAGCCGTCGCCGGCAATACGAATTGCGCCCCTGCAACGCATGGGGCCGATCTCCATGACGACCCGCCGGAGAAAACCTTCTACGATGACCCTGACATGGGATACACGATGGCCCAACCGATGAAGAACTGGGACGAGAAGCGGAAAGAGTGGCTGTCGCGTCATCCGTCGTTCATTCCCGGAGCGCAGGAGAGGGTTCTCCTTGTGACGGGATCGCAGCCTTCGCCTTGCCGGAACTCGATCGGCGACCACTTACTTCTGAGACTCTTCAAGAACAAAGTAGATTACTGTCGTCTCCACGGCTACGACATCTTCTACAACGCCGCGCTGCTCCATCCAAGAATGAAATCATACTGGGCGAAATACCCGGTGGTGAAGGCTGCGATGCTGGCCCACCCGGAGGCCGAGTGGATCTGGTGGGTCGACTCGGACGCGTTGTTCACCGACATGGACTTCAAGCTCCCGCTGCATCGTTACAAGGATCATAACCTTATCGTTCACGGGTGGGCCCATCTGATTCACGAACAGAAAAGCTGGACTGGCCTCAACGCCGGCGTGTTCTTGATCAGAAACTGTCAGTGGTCGTTGGACTTGATGGAGGCGTGGACCAGCATGGGCCCACAAACACCAGAGTACGAAAAGTGGGGCAAAATCCTCAGAGCCACCTTCAAGGACAAGGAGTTCCCGGAGTCAGACGATCAGACGGGCCTCGCTTTCTTGATCTCAGAAGAGAAGGAAAAATGGGCGGACAAGATTTATCTGGAAGGCGAGTATTACTTCGAAGGCTACTGGGAGGAGATAGTGAAGACGTACGAGAATATTACAGAACGATACAGTGAACTGGAGAGAGAGGATGAGAGGTTAAGAAGGAGGCACGCAGAGAAGGTGAGCGAGAGTTACGGTGCGGTGAGGGAACCGTACCTAAAGGAGGCAGGGAACGGGAGGGGAAGCTGGAGGAGGCCGTTTATCACACACTTCACGGGATGCCAGCCTTGCAGTGGAAATTACAATCATAGGTATACGGCCGACATGTGTTGGAGCAAAATGGTGAAGGCACTAAATTTTGCTGATAATCAGGTGATGCGTAACTATGGTTATGTACACCCGGATCTACTGGATAATTCTGTTTCTCCAGTTCCTTTCGATTACCCTGCATGAGAATCTGAGTTAGGTGATTAATAAAAAAAGTTGAGTAATTACTTGTTTAATGAGATCCAATTATAGATGACAATGTCCACGGGGATTCTGTTTATATTTTATGATGATCAGAGAATGTCACTGTGAAGGGTGTAGTGATAGTGTATGTGTAAGAATTTGTGGGGGGATTAATTAATCAATGCGTAATGAAGTATATTATGATATGATAGTATTATGGTTGTTCTGGATCCCTAGAGAATGTTGGATGTTGGGTTTGGTGGTTGTGCCGTTATTCTTCGTTTTTTACCGAATCATAGTTTATTTTATTACCTGCCTTGAGTCTGTCCTTGACTCCTGGATGTTAATTATTAATGGTTCTCGGTGAGGAAGTTGAAAGAGACTTCACTCTTTTATCATTTCGCTATCAAAAACATTATCTTTCCTTTCCAACTAACTTTGCTTGACGGATGTAGTTCGAATTGTCTGTGTTGCCAACTTAGAACCGTAAGAAAATCTGTATTTATTTGGTGTGAATTTCGGTATCACATGTTTTTTTTTTATTCAGGTTAATCTAATTAACAGCTCTTGGGCACCTTCTCTTTCTTTTTTTTTTTCCTCCTTAATTCAGTGTTGGCATCTCTTTAAAAACATATATTCTATAGAGAATTTAATTGTTGTTGTATGGTTAGGACTCAAATTCAAAGTCTTTGATTAAGCTTAGATCAGTTCCTTCCCCAGCTAATTTAAACGCTGCGTAATATAGAAAATCTGTATTAACTGTAGGAACTGGCGGATTTAGAGGCCACTTATTGGGAGCTGAAATTTTAACTAAATAAAATTGAGGGTCATAATTGGTAAATTTTATTTTACCATTTTGCTATTTTCTATGAAAGAAATCATGAAGTTTTTTACTTTTTACAAAAGAAAGCGAGGTTAGGAGGGTCCGCGATATTCATTATGACGATGATTTTATGTCTAGGCATCAGAGTGATTAACTATTACGGTAATGAAAACAAAATATACTTGCATTTTCGAACATGATTTATGCCTAATTAACATCTATTTTCCATAATATATATGAAGGGAAGTGGGTGATGTGTGAGTAAGAGAGCTTGAAGGGAAAAACTAATAATAAATCAATTATTTTTTTCCTAAAAAAAGCAAAAGCCTGGTAACTGGAAGTCGCGACATGAAGAGCTTCTGCATCCCCATGTTTTTACTTTATTCATTGACACTGGATTTATTTTGGCCAAAAAAAATAAAGTAACGCTGGATTTATCTTTTTGATTTCAAAAGCGTAGAAGTTAATTTTTTTTAATCTGTGTTAAAAATGTACACTTACTTTCTAAAACTAAAACACGTCTCATACGTACATAAATTATCCCTGTCATTTCACTCAATTTTAAATTTATTTTGAAATTTTATGATTAAGTTCTTAAAGTTCATATCCTTTTTAATGTAGTCTCTGTGATTAATATTTCTGTACTTATTTTTGAATTATTTAATCAATCATTTTTCATTATTTATTTATCTGTTTCTAACATAAACTATATATTTACAGTGTCAAAAATCAAAATGATACAAAAGCAATTACATCAATAAAGTTTGACAAAGTACTATCATACTTTTTAATCATAAATTAAATTTAAAAGATGGTAAACTATAAAGACCTGGCCTTAAAATTTCAAGTTAGGTACGTCAAATTAAGCATAAAAAGTAATTACGGGGATTAAAATATAACCTTTTTACAAAATATCATAAATGTAATTTTTTAAAAATTCACAAAAAAAATTTTTAGTTGAATTAATGTTTAGAAAGTTATATATGAATAAAGATCGAGAATACACTCTTTCAAGGATTCTCAAAAAATAAGTTATGCATTTAATCATCCTAAAAATGGACCACTTAATAAATCTTGATGATATGGACTATGGAGCGTATTATTATTGTTATATTAAATAAATGTCGTAAATTATAATATAAGTGCATAAAAAAACGATTTATTTTTGTTTGGCCAAGGATTTACTAATCAATAATAATGTGGTCCTTATATTATTGAGCCTTTTTTTCTTCCACATGTGACCATGGTTGGAGTACTTGTCGGTTGGGGAGCATTATATTGCGTCTCATAAATGCTTATTTTGGACCTTCACAGCTGCTGGTCTCAAAAATCTTGGAGCTTCAAAACAGAGGACCCACTTCTTCTCCCACATGATACTCAACGGTACCTCACAGGTTCCAAATTATCCCATACAACCATATACTCCTTCCTTGGTCAAAAAGAGGGGAAAACCCATATACTTCTTTTTTTTTTTTTAAATTATAAGATAAGCCTAGGCTTGAAAATTCCTAACACTAAAGGAAAAACAAACAAAATAGATTGAACATTTCTATCCAAATGGTAGAAACCAAGACAACCTGACGGGGGTGTATTCAAAAGGATAAAGCAATCAGTCACATTATGTGTGTTCTTGGCAAGATAATCTGCCACACGATTGGTCTCTCTAAATACAGTATTGAACATATATGTCTTTAGTCGAAAATAGGAACTGTCTAACTTCACATACCTCTTGCCTAAGTGGATGATCTGGCACATATTCCTGTTGTAAAAGCTGAATCAAAGTTATGCAATCAACATGACAGTAAATATGAGTAAAATTATACTGTTTACTAATTCTCAATCCTTCCATAAGACCTTGAAGTTCAGCAACTGTAGGTGGTAAGAAACCATATACCTGTTATTGTGATATTTTATCAACCTTTGAATCTAGCAAGTGTGTTCAGTTTTCTTTGGTGGCTCACCAATAAAAATAAAGCTACTAACCGTTTAGCAATGATGGACTCTAAAAAAATGTATCCTATGACTTTTTAAAGTTACATCTTCTTTATTGCTTGCTAATTTATTGACAGGTAGTAATATTTTTTTTTATATTTTATTATTATTCTCATAGGACTAAATAAGTTTTTGGATTATTTGTTGGCTTCGGCTATTAGTATTTATAATTTTTTTATGATAAATAAAATTGGCTCAGAAAAAACTTTTTATTAAGAATTTTCTCTTTTATTTTAATTAAATATTGATAAAAAAAATTACTTTATTATAATATGTATATTTAATAGATGGAGAGTAGTTGATTTAAGTTGGAAGAATCTAGAACATGAAGGCCTTGGCCACTGTTAGTGAGGAATGGTTCAAACTACAAGTTGATGGTTATTTTAGAGATAAGGGTAGGAGCGGATGTCGAGGTACTTTGCATCACATGGAAGACCACAAGATTTGGGGTTTTAGTTGGCAATTTAACTCTTAGGGGTTGTGATTCTAATTACTTGTTGAGAGACATCGTTAAGGAGGTTAGGTCTTTCCTTTATTTGCAGGGATGGTCGAGTTTCTTTTAATCATGCATGCAGGTAACAAAACAGTGGAGCAGATTTCTTAGATAGGTTCTCTCAAAAACTTTTGTTTCTTTTATTATTATCTATTTACTAACACAGGGAGAGATGATAATGAAAGACTTTAGGTTTTTTTTTTTTTTTTTTTAGTGATATGCACAAAATCTAAACGCACCACAATTGTACGGAGCAAATATAGTAAAGTGAATTAAAATTATCGCACAAGGAACTAAAGTAAAAGGAATTGGACACAAATGAAATTTAATTTGATTTTAGTTAAGCCAACCAATCAAAGAGTGAATTTTTTTACAATCTAAAAATTTAAATACTAGCAAAAGAAATAAAACTGACTTCGAGAGAGATAAGTAATCAACGAACACTTTAGGAATTCTAATCCCCTTATATAATTTACAATTCAATTTTTATAGTTATTGAGCTTAATTTTAACTTTAGAATTAAGGCTCTAATTTAAATTTAAATATTCATCGATCATAAAAACCTATAATCTAACTATTCTATAATATTTCATGCAAATCCTAATTCAATTATACTCCAGTATTAAAACATTACCTAGTGCTTTTAAATATATGTCTGTCTCAAATACAAATTAGACAAATTTTAATTTTAGATTACTTAATAAATAGTCTAAAAGCAATTCCCTTTTTTGAAAGGCGAATTTCAAAACTCAAATAGTTGGCCATCCCATATTATGAGAACAAATAAAATCATGAAAGCATAAATGTTTATAGAATCCCTAAGATGAAACAAGACTACTCAAAAACTGTGTAGAAAAATTCAATAACAACACAAAGCATTAAAGGCATAAAGTAGAAAAAGAAGAGAATTGAAAAAAAAAAAAAATTCCCTTTACAAGCTCCACAGTGACTCTTCAATTTTCAATCTAATCTCAAAGCCTTTGGTTGTTGTAACAAATTGCCTCCTAAATCTCATATATAAATTTGGATTCCCTTGAATAACCCTAGATGCCTTTATTTATAGTATTCAGCAGATAAATTTTTTTTTTACCAGCAGCAGATAAATTTTCTTATTCATTCCAAAATGCTAAAATATTATTTTTCTATTTTTTCAATTTCCAAAATATATCTTTTATCTCTTATATGGGCGCAAGTCATGTTGCCCACATGTATCAAAATTCAAATTAGGGATCAGTAGTAGAGATATTCAATTCTTCGGCGTGGACTCGCACAACTTTTGTTTTGGTTTATTGATTTTCTTACTCTTTCCTTATTTTTTTCCTTTCTTTTCTTAATTTTCTTCAATTTGATTTACTTTCTTTCCTACAAAATATAGAAAAGATAAATTTTAATAGATGCTATAACAAAATTCTTTCATATTCTATAATTAAATAATAAGAGAAAAATATATAAATGTTAATTAAATAAGTATAAAATATTAATAAATTTAATCAAATATAATCTAAAATCTATACCTAATTATCGGTTATATATGCATTTATCATTCAGGTCTCTTGTATAGTACCTTCTTGTTTTTTTCTTATTAATGGAGTCCATATTTTTTTTAAAAAAATATGTATGTTTAATAAGAGCAAAGACAAAAACTTATTAAATTTTTAAAGAAATTGAATGAACTTTAAAATTTTTTTAATTTCAATAAAACATGTTGATAGTGGCTTATAAGTAATATGAAAAATGATACTCTCTTCATCCCAAATTATAAGATACTTTTAAAAAAAATCTCACATACCAATAAACTTTATTAACTACATTTAACAACATTATCTTTTCAAAATAAAAATATAAAATTTTAAAAATACTTATCATTTAATATATTAAAAAGAGAATGAACATAAATTAATTATAGAGAGAGAGTAAAGGTAATATTAAAATT